ATTTAGTTTATATATTATATACAGTTTAGTTTCTGAACTAATCCCTCATATGGAAAATTTTAATCATATTCTTGATGATGTTTTCAATAAAATACAACTATATTTCAGTAATTTGTAGTAGGATCTTTGTGTCTCCAAAAGGGATACTTTTTCATTGGAAAATTCTTTTAACTTACAGCATCAGCTTTGTAATTAATTGAGAAGAGAGCTAGCCAATTATTGAGCAAGTTAAAGCTTTCAGCTGAGTGGATGCTACAGAGTGAAAGGAGAAAAATACCCCAGAAAGGAAATTGAGAAGAGTATTGTAAATCCTCTAACCATCAGAGTTGGCCACTCATGGAGTTGAAGAAAATTTTACACCTTTTATTTTTTTTATTTTTAAAAGATTTTATTTTGTTTACTTATTTATTTTTATTTATTTTTAAAGATTTCATTTACTTATTTGACAGAGAGAGAGCGAGATCACAAGCAGGGGGAGTGGCAGAGGGAGAAGCAGGCTTCCAGCTGAGCAGGGAGCCTGATGTGGGGCTCGATCCCAGGACCCTGGGATCAGGACCTGAGCCGAAGGCAGATGCTTAACTGACTGAGCCACCCAGGCACCCCAATTTACTTATTTTAGAAAGAGCGAGAGAAAGAGAGAGCACGTGCACGAGCATGTGAGTGGGGGAGGGGCAGAGGGAGAGAGAATCTCAAACAGACTCTGGGATGAGTGCAGAGCTCAATGTGGGGCTTGATCTCACAACCCTGAGAGATCATGACCTGAGCCAAAACCAAGAGTCAGATGCTCAACTGATGAGGCACCCAGGAGCCCCAATTTTATGCCTTTTTAACATCTTAATTCTCAAACTTTTCTATTTTAAATTAATAGAAAGTTATATTCAGAATGCCCCCACTGTTGAGATCATTTTCAAACAAGTCTAGGCACCCATTTTAGGCAATTAAGGATTGATGAGTAGTTAATAATGCTTGACTATAAAATTTATAAACAAGATTACCTGATTTGTAGACTGATCCCACATGTTGCCCATATTGTAGCACTTTAGACCTAAATGAAGATCAGATTCAGGCCATTGTAACCTTAGAGAAATCGACCATTGGGGAGTCATTTTTCCAGTTCACATTTTTTATTTATTTATTATTTATTTAAGATTTTATTTTTTTATTTGACAGAGAGACACAACCATAGAGGGAACACAAGCAGGGGTAGCGGGAGAGGGAGAAGCAGGCTTCCTGCGGAGCAGGGAGCCCGATGTGGGGCTCGATCCCAGGACCCTGGGATCATGACCTGAGCCAAAGGCAGATGCTTAACGACTAAGCCACCCAGGCGCCCTGATCCAGTTCACATTTTTTAAAGATAAAACTGCTGTCAAACCTGAAACTTTGGCATGCAAACAGTGATATTGCTGGTAAATGTCTAACAACTGGCTCTCAGGGGTGGGAGGAAGGGGAGCCCTGATACGTATTATTTGTTGATTCGCATAGTAAAACATTTCCATGACAGGATAGGAAGACATGATACTGAGAAATACTGAATTGAGGAACTAAAAGAAATCACTGGCAAATATCGAAAATATTGAGGAGATGCTTTATTCTTCTCTTCCTTCTCTCCTCCTTTCTCAACTGATTACAGCTCAGAAGCCATGGGCTTAGTCTGGGAAATTCTTGTTACTAGGGTACAAGGGTATAAGAACACCTGGCTCTGGGTATCCTAAATACACCAGGTTTTGCCACTTGTCCCTGACAAAATCCAAAGGCAGAGAGATGAGTGGGGGCGAAACAAGAAAGGGATTTATTTCAGTAGAGGCCAGCACCAGGAAGACAGCAGACCAATGTCCCAAAGACTCTCTAAAGTGCTGAAAATACTTCGAGGTTTATATAAAAAAAGTGTGGGACAGAAGTCGGTGGGTGCATATAGATGGGCAGTAAAGGTCAGGTCCATCACTGTTGAGGGGTCAGTTATGTGGGGTTATCACTGGCGTCAGATCAGGGCAGTTAAATTGCTTGAGGGGTAGTTTCAGTTCCCATCACGGGATGCTTTGCCCACCAAGTCTTTTGCCTGAGTTAAAAGATAAGCTGGAAAGAACTTAATGAGTTAGAAAGTATAGACAGAGGTCAAAATGGAGGTAGTTCAAGTCCTCTTTCAATTTGATCTATTTGGGGTGGTTAAAGGACGCTGAAGAACGTAAGGTGGAACTTCCTCATGTTCCGTTAACTGGGAATTTCAACTAACAGGTTAAACTTTTAAGTTAAAAAAACATTGACATCAGATAAAATAATTACAAAAAGTAAAAGTGATCCAATGAGAAAATTCTAATGGGGTATAAAAGTTAACAAAAAAAATTTTTTTTCAAAAACTGAAAGAGAATTGCAGAAGAACGAATAAAATGCTTCCCCATTCTTCCAGTCTTGAAGAGGAACTTCATAAAGAATGGGTCAAGACGGCGGCAGCCGGCTGGCTGGCTCAGTCAATAGAGCATGCAACTCTTAATCTCAGGATTATGAGTTTGAGCCCCACGTTGGGTGTAGAGATTATTAAAAAAAAACATGAAGAAAGAATGGATCAATACAGAAAATCATATATGGAGAGCTTTTATTATTTGAACAAGCCAACTGTTTGCCCCTCAAGAAAGAATTTACTGAATAATATGGCATCAGATTTTGGAAAGTGTAACTGAACCAACGTGCTTTCTCTCCTTAGTGAGTCACAGATACACCAGCTGGAGTTGTCGCACGAAGTAAACTTTATTTGCAGCAAATAAGGAGATCATGGGGAATAACTTCCAAAGTTGTGACTCCCCGAGCCAGGGTGAATGGATTCCTTTTACTTAGGGTTAGGATGAATATTTAGCTAGGGAAGCCCTGTCGTTGTATGTAGAGACAGGCATAAGACCATGTATGAACCTTAAGGAAACATGCCTGTATACACATTGTATGTTATGTAAATGAGGCCTATGTTCCTCCTTGGGTGGAGACGTTAGTATTATAATGAGGTAAAGGTAGTTGCCAGTCATTCTAGAGGTCACACAGGTCGCACCTTTGCAGGCGCGAGTCAGGGGTTAAGCTCAAACTGGTCTGGGTGATCTGGGCCAGCTGGAGGTCTTGTCAGGGTGGTCCCATGGCTGGAGAGGTGGTTTCAGTTTCCAGTTGCCTGAGTTAAGAGATAAGCTGGAAAGAAGAGCTTAAAGAGGGGCTCCTGGGTAGCTCAGTCGTTGGGCGTCTGCCTTCGGCTCGGGTCATGATCCCGGGGATCCTAGGATCAGGCCCCGCATCAAGCTCCCTGCTGGGTGGGAAGTCCCCTTCTCCCTCTTCCACTCCCCCTGCTTGTGTTCCCTCTCCCATGTCTCTCTCTGTCAAATAAATAAATAAAATCTTAACAAAAAAAAAAAGAAGAGCTTAAAGAAAAATGTGGGACAAAGGTTGGTAGGTACAGGCAGGTGGGCAATAAAGGTCCCACCTGAGGTCTAGCTGGTGACAATGACAATTCCAGGGCAGAATAAGTCCAGGTGTTCTATGGGTAGGACTCAAGCACCTGGAAAAAATATCCCCAAACCAATCATCTCTAGTCCCATTTGGACAAAAATCCTGATCTATAGAAGGCTTATAAATTCTAGGGACTACTCAGGCTTTTCCTTTCAAATATATTAAATAGTTTTGACTATTTGTTGGGGCGCCTGGCTGGCTCAGTCGGTTAAGCATCTGCTTCAGCTCAGGTCATGATCCCAGGGTCCTGGGATCAAGCCGCACATGGGGCTCCCTGCTCAGTGGGGAGTCTGCTTCTCCCTCTCCCTCTGCCCCTCCCACCCCCGCTTGTTCTTTTTCTCTTTCTCTCAAATAAACACAAACCTTAAAAAAAATAGTTTTGATTATTTTCAAATGTAATCTTTACCAAAATATTACCTCTATGCTCTCTTTAGGTTCATTCATTCATCCAGCAGTATTTATGGAGTAGATACTATGTGTCAGACATGGGGTGGGTGGCGTCTTAGGTAAATGACGGGGTTATTAAGCAATTAATGAACGGGGCAGTATCCCATCTAGCAAGTAGAGGGGAGCTCTAAGGAGTGGTACTAAATGGAAGGTTTTTATAGGAAGGAAGGTGGGGCAAGAAAATTCTTAGCAAAAGAAAAGAAATGTTCCAGGCAAGGTCACTTTCCCTTAGGGAAAAAGCAAGGGGTCTAATCATTCAGATTACCTCATCTTCCTTTGGGGAATGAAGAAGGCGCATGTGACAGATTACCTCATTGGTACTGATCAGAGAATTCCTGACTGACTGGGTAAGTCATTTCTGGGGGAGATCAATGTAATGTATATAGATACCATATTTAGTAAAATTGTCAATGAGTTTTTTTCAGTGCTATGGTGAATAGTTTTTCAGGAATTTAGATAGATGTGAATCAGATATTACAGTACTGATTATCAGATAAATTTTAAAATTTGGGGAAAAAACCTAAAGGCAAATTAGTGATATGGTGCTAAATGTCTTTTAAGTACAATGTTGTTATTGCAAAGTTGTTTTACCTTAGAATTGTCCTATGGCTTTTTAATCACTTTTTATATGAGAAAGACATTTCCTTCCCCTTTGTTAAAAAGTAAGATTTATTTAAACTCAGTGTTCTAGAAACTGGAAAGAATTTTATTTCTGGCTGGTGCAACTCATGATACAGAGTTGCTCGTTTTTGTTTTTTTTTTGTTTTTTGTTTTTTGTTTTTCTCATTAGAAAAGTATTTAGATATTTCTTACTTAAAAAAATAATCCCAACTTTGTTGGGATAAATTTGCCAAATCCACATTTCTAATGAAATTTACCTCTTTGCCTCTCTGAAGCAAAAATACTGGAAATTTGTCTCTCTGAACTTAATAGCGTAAAGCTAATGCAAAAGGAAAAAGTACAACCAAGAGACTAGAGTCTGTCTACTCTCTGGGTTAGATCCATGCTTAAAAATCAGCTCCTGTCCACAGCCATTATTCTACTTCTGAAGTCTTGTTTGCTTCTCCTTTCAGAATGGACTCAATGCTCTCCACCTGGCTGCCAAGGAGGGCCATGTGGGCCTGGTTCAGGAGCTGCTGGGAAGAGGGTCCTCTGTGGATTCTGCCACTAAGGTAATATTCATACTGGGAGAATTTATTTGGAACAGAGGAAAGATTTAAAGTTGCAGAGGTTTGCTGGGACACCAAGATTCTTCACAATGCAGAACTGAAATTGAAACTCTTATTACTGAACTTTGCAGAGAGTTGGAATTGGTTCATTTAGGGATTTATCAAACATGAGACTAAACTATGCACCTGGTTTCCAATATTTTTTCTTTTTTCCTTGGTTCCCAGAGAGAGTAGCTTGATATAATCCTCTGTAGACGTAGCACCTATTTTCCTAAGGTTAATTCATTTAAAAAAAGTAAATTGATGTAGTAAACTTTTCAGTGGAAATGGACAAGTAACTTTCATGCTTTAATTAAGTTGTTATATCTTTTAGTATATTCATTTAACTTGGTAAGAGAATATACAGAATCTTTTATACTGTAATAGAAAAGAGATTTTGGATCATGGATTGAATTATTGGGAAAATTAGATTTCGTCATTATAATGTGTGTATGTAGAGAAATGGGACTCATTTTTAAGGAACTGTCCAAGATGTTTGATATACTAGAAGCTGGTGTTTTTTGGTTGATATTCGTTTTACTAAAATATATTTGAACCTTGTCTTTGGGGAATCATTTCAGAAACAAAAGATATTTTTTAAAAATATCATCAGTGGTGACAAATCTTTGTCTTTAGAAGGTAAAATTTTAATTTGGAGCAAAACAGTAGCCAGTCAGAATCAAGCCTGCTGATCAGGGCTGGAGTGTGACAATATGGTTGTGAGAGATGCAGAGATGCCGCAGGCCCCCAAGCCTCCATCTGGGGCATTATTCTGATCAGGGATAGACAAAAAGAGTGAATAAATGAGGAATATGGCCAGTTAACCTGGATTTCTAACACCTCATGCAGGCATAGTTGCCAAAATGTAGACTGGCCCTGCTCACAATAGACAGCGATTCTAGTGGAAATTTAAAAACAAAAACAAAAGCTCTCTGGCAATTCCAAAGAAATGTTAAAATACAAGTTTACCATAGGCAATAAATTGTCACACACACGCACATGCACACAAATCCCAAATTTGATTCAATAAGAACTGAGTCTTTCTTTTTAAACACCTCACCAGAATTGTGAAGGCTAGAAAAGGAAAACACTGTTATGGGAGGCTCAGTGTTATGATGGCGGACAATTATCCCTTCCCAAGGTGGGCTACTATCTTGATAGGATGACAGACTTTAACCACTTGAAGTAATCAGCAAAATTGAAAGTGCCTGTACATTTGATTTCTACAAAATTTGGAAACCTCTAACATTTTCTATTCTGTTTCTCCAAAACAGAAGGGAAACACTGCTCTTCACATTGCATCTTTGGCAGGACAAGCAGAAGTTGTCAAAGTTCTTGTTAAGGAAGGAGCCAATATTAATGCCCAGTCTCAGGTATTACATTCAGATTTTCTCTTGTGTAAATGAATTCAAATTAGAACAGCTTTGTGAAACTGATTTAATGGGTTGAGCCAGCTGTTGGGTAGATAGATTTACTATAAATACTGCTGTTATTTATTTCAGCCAATTATTTTATTAACTCATGCAACGATATTTCTTCTTTGATGTATCATGATCTCCCTCTAAATATAACTGAAAATTTGACAACTGTGGTCTCTCATTTGCTCTAAGTGCATTAAAAAAGAATATAACGTGGTTTTTTTCCACAATGACAGTGACATCTGTGAAATATGAATTATTCATGCAAGTTCTATGTTGCGCTATAAAAGTATTTTCTCTCCTTAAATTTTAAACATTCTCAGAAGATTAGCATTCCAGTAGGAAATCTGCTATGAAGTGGGAATCACACTAATTACCTCACACCCCAAATATGGACTTCAAAAAACTCCTGAAGGAAACAGGAAAATTCGTGACCCACAGCCTTATGATGCATGTAATAACAATAAACTGGATCCCTATTTCCTGACTGAAAAAATATTGCTTTGCCCAAAGCCTTACTCTTGCTATCTATTATGTATCTATGGAGACACTGAGGTGTATATCTTTATAAATTCATTTCTTCTTTCTCATTTTTAAAGTTTTTAGCCTTTCTGAGATCACAGGCCATGCCACAGGGGCTATTGGCAAGATAAACCAGTTCCTCTCTGTCTATTCTTTGGGATAATCTCACCAGCTTGCTTTTGAAGGCCTTTGTGTAGGAATGTCTCTACCTATTTAGTTCATTCATTGATCATGTAGACATGGCTCTGGAGGTATAAATGGCATAAGTTCTGGACTCATAAAATACTACAGGACAAAAGTTAGAATCAGCCCTATTTTCTTTGACTTTGATTATAGGGAAGAACCAGTTGAAATTATGACAGACAGGACATTATTTTTATTTCTGTAATAGCGTACTATTTAAATAACCACATTTTTCTTTTAAAACCCAAATTACATCTCTAACATTTGTTAAAAATATGCCATATTCTAAAAACTTCACTAAATGAACAATTTTTTTAAAGATTTTATTTATTTATTTGAGAGAGAAAGAGTGAGAGAGTGCACGAGAGAGGGGAGGGGCAGAGGCAGAGAGAGAAGCAGACTCCCCACTGAGCAGGGAGCCTAACTCAGGATCATGACCTGAGCTGAAGGTAGACAACCGACTGAGCCACGAAGGCGCCCCTAAATGAAAAAAATTTGTAAAATTGGTACCATCTGTAAAGAATTCCCATATATTCTATAAAGTATAATGGCATCTTGGGCTTAGAGGACTTGCAAAAGATTTTACTGCTCTAAAGGGATTAAAACCTTTTCTTTAGAATAGCAAGAGAACATCTTTTTGCTCTAGAGCAAAGGTTCTCAAATTTTGGTGGCCTCATAATCACCTGTAGGGCTTGTTGAATCCCATGATTACGGGCCCAACCTCAGAGTTTCTGATTCTGTTCTGGCATGGGACCTGAGAATTTTCATTTCTTACAAGTGCTCACATAATGCTGACACTGCTGGTTCAGGAACACTTTGAGAACCCCTGCTTTAGCAAGTGTAAGAGAAAACTGGGCATAAGGACATTGCAGTAAGATTCACTAACTATAGACCTAACCACCTGCGTAAATCAAGAGTTTGTGTACGGGGGCGCCTCGGTGGCTCAGTCGTTAAGCATCTGCCTTCAGCTCAGGTCATGGTCCCAGGGTCCTGGGATGGAGCCCCGCATTGGGCTCTCTGCTCCGCAGGAAGCCTGTTTCTCCCTCTCCCACTCCCCCTGCTTGTGTTCCCTCTCTCGCTATCTCTCTCTCTGTCAAATAAATAAATAAAACCTTTAAAAAAAAAAGTGTGCACTTAAGAAGCATGGAAACGAAAGCCTGGTCAAGTTCAATTGCCCATAGGAGGTTTCTTTTAATGGAAAGTTCACCTGCTAACTGTTAGTGCTGTTAGTATCTATAAAAAGAGCTTAGTTACTTTTCTCAAAATGACTAGTTGAACATTATGATTTTGTAAAAGTTGACAGGTAGCAAATTTGGCAAGAAAAATGCTTGTTAAAATTTCTATCAGTTATTATACTGTGATTATTGGAAATTTATATGCTTTGGAGATTTTTCAAGGAGAACTAGCTAAAACCATTTAGTTGGTAATTTGCTTTCAAGAGTCAATGAGCTCATTCTGTATAGTCAAAATCATGCCAGTTTATAACAGATCCTACAGGAAGATTTATATTGTCATTAAGAGATTAAAGTAATCTTTATTTGTATTGTATTTAATTAGCTCAGTTTAAGATTCATATATTGTAGGGAATCCTGACAAATAGCTTCAAATTGATTTTTATTTTGTGAGAAAGTTTTAGATGGAAAAAAATTAATAATTAAAATTTAGGGTGTTTTTCTAAATGACTAAGTGATTTGATAAGCCCTATGACATTATTTACTATATTGAATTTAGGTGGCCCTCACTACCAATTAACAAAAAATATTGCTTAAAATATAATTTAATGATTGAAATTAAGATACAGGAATTTATATAAAACAGGTTGATTATTTTGTTCCTATGTGTGAACAAGTCTCAAAGGCACAGTTTCAAGGACCATTGAGAGAGGATATGAGTGCTTCATGCCTGATTCTCATTAGTCCTGTCTTGTTTAAGATACAGATTTCTTATAGGGTGACAATGGACCTCAGGTGGATGGGTAGGACCATGCTCATGGTAGAATCAGAAAAGGTCATAGGAATACCAAATGCTCAAGATCAATTCTGAATTTTATACTCAAATTATACCTTCTATATCTTTCCAAGAACATAGTGCAAGGCAAATGCAGGATAGTCTGTTATTATAGGAACGTTGATAGCTGCATAGTATTTTGCCTTTGACAAACTTCTGAGTTATTTGGAAATGGGCCACTAAGATTATTGAATTAAGAAGGTAGAAAGTTTTCTGGGAAGCTCAAAGGAATAAGTGTTCAGTAAACATTTACAGGTCTCATAGGTTACGGAGAGGTATACATCTGTGGATTTTTCTGCATTCTCTACCTAAACTGTAAAATCCATGGGAGGCTTACCTTCACATAACACAGTGCCAATTTTGGTAGGCACAGTCCTTAACTCATGAAGAATTCCAGAATACCAGCAGAAGCAATTTAAGCATTTTAAGTAGAATTATGTGATCAGTAAAATAACCATCAACCGATGTTTAAGTTTCTGTGCTCAGCAGTGGTGGCAGTATGGTCTCAACTGATTCAATTCTCAGTATGATTTTAAATATTGCTCACACCATGTAGCTCTCTGGCTTGGTTCTTTGCTCTCCTGGATTTGGTGGCATGGAGATCTCATTAAGACCACCATGAAAGCTGTTTTTGTGGAATAATGGGGCTGGAAGTCAAATTAGAATGATTGCAGGAATGCTATTTGCATTGAGGATGGTTGCTTGCTTTCTGACAATCTCTACTCTCAGATAATCTTTACTAGGCATATTAACATCTTCTAAACCGTCCTACATAAGTAATGCTGGGGTGCTTCCTAGATATTTGTACTGGCATTTATTTGTCACTTTTATACTCCATAAACTTATTAGACTCGGAGATACAACTTTTACTTAATTAATTAATTTATTTAAGATTTTACTTATTTATTTTAGGGAGAGAGAGAGTGCGAGTGTGCAAGCAGGGGTGGAGGGGAGGGGCAGAGGGAGAGGGAGAGAACCTCAAGCAGGCTCTGCACTGAGTGTGGAGCCCAGTGTGGGGCTGGATCTCACGACCCTGAGATCATGACCTGAGCCGAAACCAAGAGTTGGACGTTTAACCAACTGAGCCACCCAGATGTTCCAGAGATACGACTTTTAAAAGCATTGTTCAAATTATATATTATAAAAGAAACTTTGAAAAAAAATTTTGAAAAGACTGTCAGAGTAATGAGTTCCTTTAAATTTTTGTAGCACTTTTTGCCTGATGATATTTGCCTACCTCAGGTTTATTTTTTGTAATGTATATCTACAGTTTCTTCAAGGTGGTACATTTCTTGGGAGCAGATAATTTTTCTCACATTGCTTTATATTTTTAGGATTTGACGTAATTCCTTGCACATATATGGACTGGAGGCGAAACATATGCATGTATATTCTTCCTGTGTAAGAATAAGCTTCGTTGTGTATTCCAATCATTCTTAAGGGTAGATATTAATAACAGTACAATAAATAACACTGACTGCCAGGCACTATCTCCAACGCCTTGTGTACATTATCTTCATTTACTCTGTCATTATCAATGACAGACTGAGACAAAGATAATTTATTTACTTGCTCACAATCTTCATCCCTGGACAAAGCTGCTTTTCATAGCTCCTATAACAGTTGTACATTCACTATAGACACCATAGAACAGTTTTTATAATTCTTTTTTCTTCTGGCCCAAACCCTATTAAGTTCCAAGTAAGCAGGTTTTCCTGAAGTAGCATCCATGCGGAAGGTTTAAGGTGAAAGTTTTCCCCTTAGTGTTTTTTGTGAACTATAAATGCAATAGGTCTGCAAAAATGTTCAAAACATGAAGAGATTTTGTTGTTGCTGCCAAGGAAATCTGGCCTGAGAAATTTCCCCTCTTTAATTTTCTCTACAATAAAAGGTGACTTTTTGTTTCTCACACAAGACTATTTTTCCTTTAGATTTTTATTATAGTTTCTAATGTAAAATCATTAAAATCAGAATGTCCCTTGTAATAAAAGTTACTTTAAAAATATCTATTTGGGTTTTTTTTGTTGTTGCTCTTACTTGGCAAACTGGTTTATGATTTGACTACAATAATAAAAAAAAAAAGCCACACTGGATTCTAGAATTTGTAATATCTCCATACAGCAGAAACTAATTGAAATTGTAGAACATGGGTACAGTAAAACTTGTCAACTATAGCTTTCTGACTATCTTTTACCTTATACAATGGGGCCTGGTATGTTTGAGTTCCATGATAGTTATAGAGA